TCCTTTTACCACGCAACTCGACATATTTATGACAAGCAAATCTGTCCTGCGCGCGCACTACTGTCGACCAATTCGTCCGTTTTAGTTGTTCGCTCGCCCGGTCCTTACGCTAGTAATATAATATATGGCAATGGTTGAGATACGTTTAAAATATTCATTTTATCAAGTCAACTAGTTTAAGAAATTCTTTGTTATTCTTCATAAGCTTCTTTTTTAGCTGAAGAGGTGTGTCTTTATGAGATGTTCTTTTAAAACTTGCTTGGATACACGATGTAGGCGGGCTTTTATTGAAATTTATCATATATTTTTTTCGGAAATGTAAATACAATTGTACTTCTTCACCTCGTAAATTTATGTCTTTACTCTCAGCGTTTAACAGCTTTATATTGACTTATGGATTTTTGGTTAACAGGAAAATAAATTAATAGTTTCTAGGTATTTCGTTAACCAGGTGGTACATTAGGTACAAATTAATTGATTTCCCTTTGACAAATGAACCACTACTACATCATCACATTCAATCCGCACGATGGTTGTCGATAGAATGCTGACAGGATACTTTGATTCAGTACTTATATTTGTTTTTATTGTTTCAATACCAAAGCCTAAATTTGTACCCAGTGATTTGCTTCTATTAAAGTGAACATGTTCAGAGCAAAAAATATTTGTTTTCAATGTATTATTGCTAGAAATTAGTTTTAGTGCAGTATTCTTAATATTATTTTGTATATAAACACAAATATCTTGAAGCTCGTAAGACCCTTCAAGAATTTAGATCATTTCTTTTTCACAATAATTCATTGTTTCTTTAATCTAAAGGATTCTATGTCGTTTATATTTTGCGATTGAAAGTTGAAAAATACAAAAGACCACATTCGTAGTCTCCTCGTGGTTCCATCGTCGGTGAATAGTTTGTTGATAAAGGGGCTCCTGTTCCAGTTATAGACATAGTGAAAGATATTTTTATACTGATAAGTTTATTTATTTCATGCACTATATAAATGCTTTTTCCCAGTAACTAATTAAAAAATTTAGGCAAACAGTTTCTAGTGCCAAGCGTTTGATGTCGCGCATAATTATAGTTAATAGGTAAGTTATGCATCATCATCACAGCCCTTCACAAGTCCACTGCTGAACATAGGCCTCCCCCAAGTAATGCCACAAAGCACGGTCCTGAGCCACCTGCATCCATCGACTTCCTGCATATCTTACCAGGTCGTCACTCCATCTAGTGGGGGGTCGCCCTACACTACGCCTACCGGTACGAGGCTGCCACTCGAGAACCTTTCTTCCCCATCGGTTATCGGTTCTTCGAGCTATATGGCCGGCCCATTGCCACTTCAGCTTACTAATCCGTTGGGCTATGTCGGTCACTCTGGTTTTACTGCGGATATCCTCATTTCTGAGTCTATCTATCTATCTATCTCTAAGTTATGCATATGTCTATCTAATTCTAACGTATTTATTGTGCTTTACAAAGGCTACCCAATGCGTTCCAGGATTTCTGTAGCTATCCAAATTCAATATTCCACATTTTATCTTCCTCAGTTTCAAAGGTAATTTATTTCCCATGAAAACTCCACGAGAGTGTAGAATGTCACTTGCGTGTTCTAATATATCTAGATTAGTGAGCGCCTGTCTGGGTAGCTGTCTAATTAGTTTATTGAGGGGTTAAGATATAAACCTGCTCTTTGTTTATGAGGTTTAATATATAATCCTTTTCCTAGAGCAACGGCTTCCATCATTCTGTTGTGTCTTTCGGATTCCTGAAGACTCTTTTGTGCTGCTTTTGAATTATCACCAGCTTTTGCTATACCCGCTGCTCCACCAGCTAATGATTCTAAAGCTGACAATACTACAAATATGGGAATAAGTAGTAAAAGTCCTCCACATTTTGGAAGAGGAATACAACGGAGTAAACTTATTACTTTTTTATTATTAAATATTTTCTTTGCAGCTGCATAGGCATATTTTATAGCCGAGTGACTGTCTTGGGATTTTAGTTTTTTTATCCCCTTCTTAAACGCTTTTATACCTCTACCCGCCCGGATTTTTGTTTTCGTCGCATTTTTTACTATCCATGAGGCAATTTTTTCTCCTTTCCAGCATCTTTTGATGTTTTGATTATGATCTTTTTTGTCTATTTATTAATAATACCACTGCCTTCCTTCATCGATAAGTATAAAATGAGATAATTAAGTAATAATGCGTTATTTATATACCTACACTATTAATTCACTTTTATCCACCCAACTATTTCCTTCATCACTCAAGCCTAACCATTTTACTAAAAGCTTATTTCCTTTTCTTTTAATAGACAAAGGTCTGTAAATTTAGTTTTTTGTAATTCGTAACCGTAAAAAGAGCCTAGAATATTTTGATTATGTTTGTCTTCTATTTGATAAGTTTGAGGATTGGTTTGGTTGACTTTAAAGATACGAAATATTTCTGTAGACCAATTAGGGGTATAACCTTTATAAAAATCTCCATTGTATTTGCTTATGTGAACGTAATCGCCAACGCAAAACGTTAGTCCTTGGCGTACCTTAGGCTTTGGAGATTTCTTGATCTTTGACATAAGTAAAATCGCATTTGAATCATTAAAGTTGATTTGTAAGGCGATGCAAAGTAGTACACCGCTTTACTACAAAATATAAATTATTTTGGAACCATTGACATCGTCCGCATAGACTGAATATTTCGTAAAGGTGAGTTTTTAAAGTTCTTATTACTCGTTCTACAATAGAGGCATTTTTAACGGAGTACCTGGAGTAATGATTTATATTATAATTTTTTATTAAATTCTTAAAATATTCATTATAAAACTCTGTACCAAGATCTGTTTATAAATTTTTAGGTTTTCGTCTTGATTCAGATAATAAACTTTGCATCTCATTTTTGACACAATTTTTATATATCGATTTCAATGATCTAATCCACACGTATTTTGATAGAGCATCGATTACTACTAGAACAAATTTATATCCTTTATTAAACGTTGAATATATTTGAAAAATCAGGTCAGCTTGCCATAAATCATCTATTCCTTTAAAAATCGTATGTTGACGAGAAAAAATTCTTCTTGCTGCTTTGTGAAGCTCATTGACAATGTTTACTCATTTTGCGTAGGTTTTGCTGCAATAATGAGGTCGATTACCTTTTTCGTGTAATACAATGTCCTGAAATTGATAGTAGTCAATTTTTCTAAATTGTTAAGGTACTTTTTAATATTATTCTGAATTGTTTTCATTTTCTTTTTAAGTTCTTGAACACATTTATCCACATATTCTTTATTTACAGCCTCATTGTCTTTTTCAGGAGATTGCAGTCCTTTTAATCTTGTTGATTCCAAATCAAAATCACCTGCGTCTGTTCTTACTAAAGTATTACTGAAAATATCAGAGCATTCAGATAGTCGCAAACGCTTATGAACATGATGACCAAATTTGTCTATATTCATTGCCGTCTTGTTGGCTTCTGTAATGAAATGGTACTGGAGGCGTAATCCTCCTGTAGGCAGCTTAATGTATTTAATATATTTTGTGCTTCATACATTTCTTCGACATTCTACACTCTCGTGGAGTTTTCATGAGAAATAAATTACCTTTGAAACTGAGGAAGATAAAATGTGGAATATTGAATTTGGATAGCTACAGAAATCCTGGAACGCATTGGGTAGCCTTTGTAAAGCACAATAAATACGTTAGAATTAGATAGATATATGCATAACTTACCTATTAACTATAATTATGCGCGAAATCAAGCGTTTGGCGCTACAAACTGTGATCATCTTTGTCTAAATTTTTTCTTCGATTTTGTATAAATTTCATTATAAACCCTTGTGTTACCTGATATACCAGTAACAATTTATCATTTTGTGAGACTTCCTCGGTTACAGTATCTAAATTTGGCAGCTTTTTAAGCAATAACTCTTTTAAGCTTGGAGTTTTTTTCAAACTATGATTTCCAATTATTAAGATGCGATCATCGTCATAGACGCGAAATGTGCCGAGTATTCGTTTCCCACGTTCATTTCTGACACCATAAGGTACATCTTTTAGTACTTTAGATGACATAGACCACGACAATGAATTATTTGCAATACTTGGCGTTGATTGAAGTGATTTAAACGAAATTTCATTTGCATCATTATCATCAAGCGAGTGAGTGAGGATTTTCTTGGATGTCGTTTAAACATCGTTATCTGAGTTTTCTTCATTATTAACAGGATCCTCAAACACATCACTTGAAGAAAGCGATTACTTACTTGCGCTGTACTTAGCTTTTTATATAAAGTGAGTTTGCTCCGTATCTTCATTTTAAAATGTATCACTTCTTCAGTTTTTCTGGTAAGCATATTAAGCGGATCAACCATAGGCTTAAATATTGTTTCCGAAGCCAGATTGTCTGTATTTTTTTCATCTTTTTCCCATTTCTACCTTTCTTTTCACAGCTGTAGCAGATTTTATGGCTCCTCTTCACGATCGGCCATGATGGGCGATTACACGCAAGCACGATCGTGTAGAGGGGCTAATCGCCTGTAGTTGCCCATCATCGTCCTCAATCGTCGTTGACCGTCGTCGTGATCGTGGCGATCGGTGCCTTGTTGGTTTTTCGGGCACACATCAAAGGGAATCGCTTGTAATTGCGTGCGCGTGCCCACACGATCGCCGATCATTCATTCACCGGAGGACAGCGAGCAGTGAGTACGTCACGTCGTTTTTAAGTTTTTAAATAAAAGTGAGTGCGAGTGCAAAACAATGGACTACTGGGTGGTCAAATGAAGAGACATTCAAGTTCATAGAACTATATCAGAACCAACCAGTAATATGGAATCCTAAACATAAATATCACAAAGATAAAAATAAGTTAGGTACTTAGTTATTTATTTATCGTTATTATGAAGTTTATAATCGCTAATTTGTGTCATTCTGTAAATTTTAAATCATCCATTATGTTTTTTACAGGTGAATGATGCATGGGCTCGTATTGCTGAGGAAATGTTAGTACCACTTTCCGAAATTAAAAGGAAAAAGGAAACCTTGTTAGCAGCTTTCCGGCTGAATCATAAAAAAGTTGTCGCCTCTCTTAAATCTGGTGCCGGAGAAGACGAGGTGTTTAAACCTATATGGGTTATTTATGACGCTTTAGCGGCCTTTATGATCGACGTGTATGAGTGCAAGTCGGTACTTGTTACGGCGGACAAAGTCGATGTAAGTAAAACAAATTTTACAGTAGGTAAATATTATTTATTAATCTCAATACAATTCGTACCTACATTGTTTATTTGAAATAGTTATAATGTACATACCTATAAGTTATAAAAGTATTCAGAGTGCCTAGTGCAATTAGTATGGAATGGAAATAGTGACAATTATTGGGAAGCACAATTATCGCACTAGGCTATCTGAAGTAAAACGAAAACTTCTAATTAACATAATTATTAAAAAAAAAGTCATGAACCATTCTCTTATTTGGGTAGCGTTATTTTTTCGAGGTGTTGATTGTAGCGATGTGAATACGCTACCATTATTCTGTCTCCAAGAACCTAGAGAGACGAGTTGACCATTCATGTATGTATCAGTGGTATCTGGAGGATTGTACCGTTCCCTAGACGTTGAACTTTTTCTTAAGAAATTATGAAATAAAACGCATGTCATGGTAATAATAGAAGCCTTAACATCTTTTGCTACAATACAATTGCATAGGTTTTTTAAAAACTCTAAACTTACTGGCCATTATGCCGAAAGTATTTTCGACGACTACTCGAGAGCGAGAAAGTTCTTGATTAAACATCCTTTCTGGAGTACCAATTGCATGGTGACCAGGAAATGGTTTCATTAAATTTGTACTTAAAGGGAACGCTCCATCGCCCAAAAATATATAGGGGATATCAATTTTACTTCCTGGAAGTGGGCTAGGTGACGGGAAATTGATGGTGCCATTCGTCATTTTTTCCAATAACACACTGCTATTAAATACCCCGCCATCACTGATCCGTCCTTTGGCGCCTACTTCAGCAAACATGAAACAGTAATCGTCGTCTACTAAAGCTAAGAGAACAATGCTGAAACCACCTTTGCAATTAAAATAGTCAGATGCACTGTGAGCAGGTGGTAGTATATTTATGTACTTTCCGTCTAGAGCACCTAAGCAGTGAGGGAATCAGAATTTGTTTGCCTTGTCAAGCCATTCTTGTGTAGTACTTGGTAACTAAAACAAAAAAAAACAGAATAAGTATTTTAATGCTATGTTTTATTGTTTTCTAGATAGAAGAAGAAGGTGCTGATGAAATCCCGGACATGCAGCAGTCTACGCAGGGGCAAGAATCAAGTATTACGGTGTCTATCCCAGATCAAAAACGGTGCAGTACAAAACTGCCTGAACTCGCAGAAACCAATGCACAAATAAAATCAACGCTATATACCCTTAATGACGTATTAACGGTTAACAGGAATAGAGGTGGGAAAGTTGAAGAGGACGATTGTGATCTCTATGGTAGGCTTCTGGCCAAAGCGCTGAGAGAATTTAGCGCCATCGACAGACTAGAACTGAGATATGAAACAGATGGTTTAATAATAAAGTAAAAGCGCTCATTGACTAGGCATCGTTATGTTAGCTCACCACCACAAATTATTATAAGCACTAATCGCCCTTCTACTTCAAACAAATTGTATTCTGAACAGCTGATGGATACCAATCCATCCGAAGCAATTCAAGTAATTGTTCTTTTATCTCAGAAAATGCCATACATCGGCCCTGCTCGCCGGCGAGCATGTACACTTCACCTTCATATGAATCTCCCCAACGGATACAGAATCAGCAAAACATTTCTCAATATGTTTATTCGGTTGTCCCTTCACCTCCAGACAATCGAAATATGTCTACACAAAATGCTCAATCGCAGGATATTTTATATAGAACATTTTTGGATGCTAATGTAAACAAAGAGTTTGAGTAATTAAAAATAAATGAATGATAAATCTAATCTATGTTTTTTTACCTTAACCATATTCTTCAATATTTTGATCAGTGCCTGGCATACTTCAGGAATTATTTGAGATATAATTTGGCTTGAAACTTTAAACGTATAATGCAAGCTTCTATAACTATCCCCAGTAGCCAAAAATCTCAAATTTATAGCAAGACGGATTTTAACTGGTATAGAATCCCTCCAAGTAGTGTCTTGTTTTGCAACTAATGGGGATATTTTTTCAACTAAATAATTGAAATCGCTTAGCGACATGCGAAGAAAGTTTTCAAATTCCCCTGAAGGTTCCGCCAATAGCTCAGAGAGCTGATTATCCATTGAATGTCTAAAATAGATATTTATAGTGAGAACTGGGCAGTAGGATCACCTATTAAGTTGTATAGGTACATTTACTTTGTTCTATTACGATGAATGCTCAAACACCACCATCTTCTTTTCTTCCATTTCTTTTCGCAACTTTTCGTTCAACTACATTGATATAATGATTGTATACGGAAATTAAATTAATGGTAGCTGCAGCTATAACCTCCACGTCCATCTTGAATTATGATCACCGACGATCGTGTGGATGCTTGCACGATGATGGTGGCGATTACCTTGCCGATTACATCGACGATCAACGACTGTCGATCATGGCCGATCGTGTAGAGGCGGTTTTACAATTTGTTTTTTGAGGTTTGGTTCCATTGTAAAGGAATTGTACTCTGTTTGACTACTCAAATGTAACTGATTGCTACGTGACATAGGAGCTATTTAAACATTTAGTCTACTGGTATGAATGTATCAAACTTTATTCTGTAACAGCCTTTATTTCGTTCAGTCTTTATTTATAACAACATAATTGAAAGGTTTACTAGGTTTAAAAAAAACTAAAATTTTAAACCTAAAAACTGTATTTTATTATAATAAACTGATCTATATTTTAGCGTAGTAATATAAGTGTTTAAAAATTTATTTTTAGAAATATTTGGTAACTGGCTTAATACTTTTAAAAACGTGTTTTTGCTTTCAAATAAAATCGAAAATCGAAATAAAATCCAAAAAAACTAAAAATTCAAATTGATATAAAATCGAAAGTCCAAATAAAAAATTTAAAACTAAAATACTAAAACTAAAAACTATATTTTATTATAACACACTGATCTATATTTTAGGGTAGTAATATAATGAGTGTTTATTTTTTATATATCTTATTTTTTATATTTAGTACCTGGCTTAATTTTTTAATAACGTGTTGTTGCTTTCAGATTAAATCGAAATTAAAACTATAAAACTAAAATTCTAAAAACTGTATTTTATTGTAATAAACTACTACTGTATTGTACTGTATAAGTAAGTCAGAGCTAAATGTATAGCTTAAATTACATGTATTAAAATGTTTATAACTTTATATTAATTTAACTAAATAAATATTTAGTTATAATAAATACATTCGTTGTAACAATACATGTCTTTTATTGAAATAATACTAGTTTTTACGGAATTTATCGCGTGTATTTAACTTTTTAATTACCCGACGTTTCGAACGCTTTACAGCACTCATGGTCACGGGCAGGACTGAGATGTTCAACGTTCATATGTCATAGTTAACCGCGGTTACCATAGATTAAAATTTAACTTTTGTTCCGATCTATGCAGTATGAACTTATGGTATCTTGAAGTCTTGCAGTTGTATGCTTGGGTTGGGATTTAATTTTATTTATTATAGGATCCCAAGCAGATGGTAGCACCCAGCCATCTTCTCTATTGAAATTAGGATGTTTTTTGATTTCAATAGCCTCGCGAATCATCCTTGGAAGGAATCGGTGTTCTTTAGCGAGGATCTGCGGTCTATCAAATCTGATGTAGTGACGGGGGCGATCCTGTACGTGTTCACAGACTGCAGACTTCCCGGAGCGTCGATTCTTCACATCAGCTATATGTTCTTTAACGCGGGTTTTTATTGATCTTTTAGTTTGTCCTATGTAGGAGAGACCACATTCACAATCAAGCTTGTACACTCCTGCATCTTGCAGAGGGACATTACACTTGACCGATGGTAAAAACTGACCAATCTTTTTCAGCGGCTTGAAGTATGTTTTGATGGAAGCGCGCTTCAAGATGTAGCCAATCTTGTCAGTGACTCCTCTAACATATGGCAGTACAGCAGGTACACGCTCGACTGTGGCCGGCTTCACTCGTTCACTGTGACGTAGGCGCGGGACTCGAAGCTTGTTGTCATACAAAACTTGCTTGACATGGTGGAGCTCTGCAGCCAGGTGTTTACTGTCACAGATCCCTCGTGCTCTCTGAAACAAAGATTTACCCACGGTAGCTAACTGTGAAGGATGGTGGTGAGAATCACCGTTTAAATATCTATCTGTATGGGTCTTTTTTCTATACACAGTATGGCTCAAGGTGTTATCAGGATTCCGAATTACTAACACATCTAGAAAAGCTAAGGAATTGTTTGCCTCTAACTCCATTGTGAACTGAATTTTAGAATTTATAGAGTTAAGATGGTCTAAAAATGCAGTTACTTTATCTAAAGGTAGAATTGTGAAAGTGTCGTCTACGTACCGCTTGTAGAACCTTGGATTTATGGGAGAACTAAGCAGGGCTTTCTCCTCAAAGTCTTCCATGAATATGTCGGCGACAATGGAGATACAGGTGAGCCCATCGCCACACCATCTACTTGCTTGTAGAACTCCTCCTTCCACAATAGGTAGCCAGATGTAAGGCAGTGTCTGAGTAATACTGCATATTCTACGGGCATGTTGTTTTCTTCCAGCCTTCTAGTTACAATTGAGATGCAGTCTTCAACAGGTAAGCATGTAAACAATGACTGCACATCAAAACTGACCATAGTTTCATATATATACACATATATATGAACCTATGGTTATATATGGTCATATATATATATATATATATGTTTCACATATATATATATATTTCATATATATATATATATATATATATATATATATATATATAATACATTGAACTTACTGGTGAAAAGTCACTACTTGACTTTTACTTATGTTTCTCGAGTTGTTTGAACAATATCTCAATGCACACGAAGGCATATTATTTTAAAAACAATTCTTCACTCAAACGTCTCACGTTGCGGCAACCGCTTGACACAGACCATAGACACAGACTAAGTGAGTTGGAGTGCGTGCGCTCTAACGCGTGTTACAAACATTCGAGTTGAGGCGTCTTCTCTAGTACGTAGTACATTATAACTCAATGACTGTAGCTAGAGATTTTTTTGTTTATTTTTCGATATGAGATTTCCAATTTAAATGACAGTCTATGGTGACTCCAAGAAATTTTATGTTATTAACTATTTCTATTTGGGTGTCTTTATCTGCTATATTTAAATTTAAAGAATTAGTTTTGTAATTTCTGAATTGAATTAATTTAGATTTTGTTAGATTAACGTTTAAATTAATTTGTTTAAGCCATTCAACTGTTATTTTTAAAGTTTTATTTATATTATTTTCAAAATTCATTTGAGTATCAGGTATAAAGATAGTTGCATCATCAGCGAACATCACACATCTATTGTCAGTGATATTTAGCAAGTCATTCACATAAATTAAGAATAACAAAGGGCCCAAAAATACTTCCTTGTGGCAAGCCTAGTGTCATTTTAACTGGCTTGGACCGTACTTCTTCAAAAGTTTTACTGACTTTGTCAAATTTTTCAATTGCTGTTATTTGCACTCGATCTTTTAAATAGCTTTTTAATAGTTCTAATGTCAAGCCACGTACACCTAATTTGTCAAGTTTATTTAATAGTATGTCATATATGACACAATCAAATGAAAATATTTGAATTTTTCATATCATATATGAAAAATTCAAATATTTTCGAGAAGTTAGATAAAAGAGTTATGGGCCTATAGTCTTTGACATTACATTTTGAACCTTTTTTTGAACAAAGGTTTTATTTTTGCTGTTTTTAATTAATCTGGAAAGGTACCAGATTCTATAATTAAGTTCAATAAATAAACAAGAGGCTCATTAATATATTCTATAGAATTTTTAATAATTTTGATCGATATGTCGTCGTGGCCGCAACTTTTTTTATTTTTAAGGTTCATTATTGTTTTTTTCTAATTCATTTGCATCAACGGGTGATAAATATACATAAACATAAACACTCACGCCTGTCACCCAGAGGGGTAGGCAGAGACTACAGACTTCCATTTGGCACGATCCTGACACACCTCTCTTCCCTCCTTCACATCCATACACCTACGCATACATGCTCGTCGGTTAAGGGTAACTCCTAATTTGGCCCGTTTTCAATAAATCGCCAATTTGGTCGATAAATTTTCGCCTAGGACGTCCCTTTCCGACTCTGTCATTCACTTCTGCACCATAAATTTTCTTTGTCACTCTTTACTCATTCATTCTTTCCACATGACCAAACCACCGAAGCATTCCTTTCTTAATACTGGTCACAACATCATCTTGCAAACCAAACTCTTCTCTTATTACACAATTTCTTACCCTGTCATTCAGATTCAGCCCTAACATACTCCTTAACGACCGCATTTCTACTGCGTTTATTCTACTCTCGTGCTTCTTCTGCCACACCCAACT